GCGTTATCATTAACAATTGGAGTGAAAGTCTAGGACTGTGAGACGCAGCGACACCGTGTTCTTTCACTCTGCTACAATGGACTGTCTTCCTGTCAGGAAACTGGACTGAAACACTGGGACCATGTGACCATGTGACCATGTGACCATGTGACCATGTGACCAAGTCTCATCTGTGTGATTATCAAACACTCACAGAAGAAGAGGAAAAAAAACTTTAAATATGACGACGATCGTGGAAACTAAGGCTCTCACTCAATTAATGACCACGATTCATCACATGACCGTCCAACGTTAACTACGATTCATCACATGACTGTCCAACGTTAACTACGATTCATCACATGACTGTCCAACGTTAACTACGATTCATCACATGACTGTCCAACGTTAACTACGATTCATCACATGACCGTCCAACGTTAACTACGATTCATCACATGACCGTCCAACGTTAACTACGATTCATCACATGACCGTCCAACGTTAACTACGATTCATCACATGACCGTCCAACGTTAACTACGATTCATCACATGACCGTCCAACGTTAACTACGATTCATCACATGACCGTCCAACGTTAACTACGATTCATCACATGACTGTCCAACGTTAACTACGATTCATCACATGACTGTCCAACGTTAACTACGATTCATCACATGACTGTCCAACGTTAACTACGATTCATCACATGACCGTCCAACGTTAACTACGATTCATCACATGACCGTCCAACGTTAACTACGATTCATCACATGACCGTCCAACGTTAACTACGATTCATCACATGACCGTCCAACGTTAACTACGATTCATCACATGACCGTCCAACGTTAACTACGATTCATCACATGACCGTCCAACGTTAACTACGATTCATCACATGACTGTCCAACGTTAACTACGATTCATCACATGACTGTCCAACGTTAACTACGATTCATCACATGACTGTCCAACGTTAACTACGATTCATCACATGACCGTCCAACGTTAACTACGATTCATCACATGACCGTCCAACGTTAACTACGATTCATCACATGACCGTCCAACGTTAACTACGATTCATCACATGACCGTCCAACGTTAACTACGATTCATCACATGACCGTCCAACGTTAACTACGATTCATCACATGACCGTCCAACGTTAACTACGATTCATCACATGACCGTCCAACGTTAACTACGATTCATCACATGACCGTCATCATCGTTCGAACCTATTTCCTCGGCCAATGTTTGTCAACTGTTTAATCCATTTCATCAGAGTTGAATCATGAGCCCAGCTCTGATTGGCTAACCTCTGTAATGGCTGTACAAAGTCAGCTAATGTTGGTTTGTCCCCCCCCTGTGGTAGGGTTACCTGGGGGAGGAGAAGGCCTTCATCGCCACTCAGGGTCCCATGGTGAACACCGTCAACGACTTCTGGCAGATGGCGTGGCAGGAAGAGTCTCCGGTCATCGTCATGATCACCAAACTGAAGGAGAAGAACGAGGTAGATTTGGAATTAGCTCAATCTGAACGTGGACCCTCTTCAATCTGATTGGTTGTCGTCTTTATTTTGGTAGAAGTGTGTTCTGTACTGGCCAGAGAAGAGAGGGATCTACGGGAGCGTGGAGGTGTTGGTCAACACCGTCACCGAGTGTGAACATTACACCATCAGAAGCCTCGCACTGAAGGTTAGGACTGGAACTGCACCTCCTTCTGTGGACACATGTGGCATTGTTAGCATAAACAGGAGCTAACAGGAGCAGAAGTGTTCTAGAAAGACCTGGAACAATGTTGAAACGTTAGCTAACGAGGTATTAAATTACATTTACGATAATATACATTTATTTCTGTGTTCGTACAGTGTGGGAATCAAACCCGCACGCTCCAACACTACTGGTACACGTCGTGGCCGGATCACAAAACCCCAGACTCAGCTTTGCCGCTGCTGGAGCTAATGTCCGAGGTAGAGACGGACAGACGCAACGGCGCCGCCCTGGGACCGGTGATTGTCCACTGCAGGTACTAAGTCATTTATTGTCACTTCTTAAATAATCCAATGACGCGCTGACAATAGCCCCTCCCCCCTTTCCCTGCAGTGCTGGGATTGGTCGGACCGGCTGCTTCATTGCTACAACCATAGGCTGTCGACAGCTGAAGACCGGGGGGGCGGTGGACGTTTTAGGCATCACCTGCCAGCTCCGAGCCGACCGGTAAAACACTCACTCACTTTGAACCATTTTGTCTCAACGCTTCCCAGCCGGGGTTCACGACCTTTCTGGGACCTGTGGACCTGCGAGCGGTCTGCGGCCCTCTGATTAAGAACCATTGGTGTACCCGGTTGTTGTGGCTCATCTTTGTGTCTGTTCTGGTGCAGAGGTGGGATGATCCAGACGGCTGAACAGTACCAGTTCGTCCATCACGCCTTGAGTCTGTACGAAGCCCAACTGTCAGCAGGGACCGACCAATGAGGCTTCAGCACCGTGGAGGCGGGACCTGGGCAGGTTGGTAAGAAAAGATAGAGAAGGAGAGAACTGTGACTCTGACGGACGCCTCGTTACGATGTCCAGGGAAATCCAGAAGCTAAAGTTCCTGGGACTAGCTGTTCTGGTTCTGTTGCTGTGTTGGGAAACTCTTCTGCTAAGAACCTTCCAGAGAACTTCAACCCCCCTCCCCCCCCCCAAGTTGATGCTACTGCGCTGCTCAGCAACACTGTAGTGATGTGGTGGAGGACTGTTAGCTTAGCTTCTTAGCATCTGTGACTAACCTTTAGCTTTCTGCTCCATGAACAACAGTAACATGAAAACAGACAAAGACAAGGAGTGGACCGAGTCTGGATCCTAGCTCCAGGTCCTCAGATCTTCTCCTGAAGAGGGTCCAGGATCTGGGGTCCAGGATCTGGGGTCCAGGATCTGGGGTCCAGGATCTGGGGTCCAGGATCTGGGCTGCATCTCTGTCTTACCTAAGACCTGAGTTTTAAAACTGACGTCAGACAACTTCACGACTTGAATGACCTGGTGGACGCTAAAGACTCATCCGACCAGACATGACGCTAAAGACTCATCCGACCAGACATGACGCTAAAGACTCATCCGACCAGACATGACGCTAAAGACTCATCCGACCAGACATGACGCTAAAGACTCATCCGACCAGACATGACGCTAATCGTCC